CTGAAAGCTACTCTGAACATATCTTTAGATAAAGAAGAAGATCAGGAAGATGGAACAAAATTACATGTTGTTGCTCAAGATGCACATATAAATGGCATGTTGGTGCAATATCTTTTTTCTAAACCGATCATCTAATAATCCCTGAATTCCTATCAGACCGTTTGACTGCCACTGCACTAATATTTGCAGAATATTATCCATACAAATCCTAATATTTCTTTCTCAAGTTTATCACCTTCTACGTTTAAGCAAGAATTGTTCTGTTCTTTGTAGAGTCTGCTCTATCTGAACAGCATCTTCTTTACCCAGCTATCAGACTAACAAGGGGTTCCTGAAACATCTCTGGAAGTTTGCTGTCCTGGATAAGTGTCACTATACGCCATTCACTCAGTTTTCTAAAGAACTTGTCAAGACATTTAAAGAGCACAGATGACAGATGTTAACCTCCCTCTACCATGGGAGTGTATTACCTATTGACATCCTTTCTTTCCTAACTAATTTTGATCCAAAAGAAGATATTTCTTCTTTTGTTTACTTTAAAGCCTTCAATGAAGGAACCTGATGAATAGTTTTGCCTGGATAAACAAGCTTACTGGCTCCTTCAAAATATTCTAACAATTTATCTTAATTTTCACCTAAGAGAACTGTACCAACTCCTCTTTAATACTGTATTTCCCCAGGATATAGTTAGTCCACTCTTTCTTACAAGCGCCATGAATCTATTTAATTTAAACTTACTGATCTACAGCTCTCCAGTTCAATCTAGAATTTTAAAAAAATGCTGCTCTGCTCCATCTCTCTGACTCAGAAGATGAATTACGCCACAGGCTATGGAAAATAAATCCACAATTTTGCACCCAAATACCCAAAGAATTCCTTTAGAAGCACCAGACAAATATCTTCTGATCCTGGGATATTTTTGTTGGAACGTTTCTTTTGTTGATATGTTTTGAAACCTCTTACATTTCAACGAGAGAATTCTTTGGTCCCATTCAGCAGTAAGAACTGACTCATGTGCGAAAGAGTCCTTAATTCCTTACACAATAAACACACATGTAAGTAGCTGCCCAATTTTTGTGCTCTGGCCTTACCTTCCAACCCTCAACTGTCAATTTGCCCTACTGAAATTGAGGTAGGCTTCCATTTTTGGGTAGGGTTTTTTGAGTTTAGTTGCTGCTACTTCAAGTTTTATCCACTCTATCCCCTAAACCAAAGAAAGACCAGTTGAAAACTTACTTGTCAGAATGCAGTTCCATGTCACTGCTCTCCCCCAAAACAAAACTGTGATTTTTTTAAATATGACTTTTTAATGCTCTCTTTACACTGCTGCTTTATTGGATCATCTTAGAATAATTTCTGGCCAGCCAGAGAAGTGCCTTATAATATTTCTAAAACAGGCTTCATGCTGCACGTCAACTTTTAACCTTTTACCTTTTTTTTTCACCAGACTCTGAATTGTAAAGTTAAATACTGCAATGATTTCTTTTTTTCCTTACATGGACATAATTGTCCAAGAGTAGCTATTAGTTCCTTAATTTAGGATCCTGTTCAAGGGTTATATCTCTATAGTTTTCTCATCTATAGATGTTGTTTCAATGAGTTTCCATTTAATATCCAAAATGACGGTTTGCCAATCCAACCATACCACGACTTTTATCCGAAACAGAGGAATACTGAAGCCTTCCATTTCCAGAAGAACAGACATAATCTCCAAATTTAGCATTAAGTCAGCATGACAAGGTCCCGTAGACTGCTTCCCAAAACCTACCAACACCCACAGAGTGGACAAAGCACAATGCTGGGGAGGACGGAGCATTTCCAAGTACAACTTAGGGGTGCAGTTACCCACAGGTGGGCTGGAGAAGCCCTGATGCTTTGCCCTCAAAGAAAAGTCAGTGAAGGCTCATCCCTGCCACGCCAAGGACTTCTCCATTAATCTGAGTTAATGTGAGGTAGTGAAACAGTTGTTTCAGTAGAAAAGATACATCCACAAATTTAAAGTCTGAAAGCCACATTCATTGAAAGGTCAAGCACCATCACTGAAATCAGTCAATTGTCATCCAACAAGAAAGGCAAAGGCAAACCCAAATCCAAAAGAACCAGATACATGACTTAGATATCAACAGCAGTTTAAAGAAAAAAGATTTTGACAGAACATAATAGAGGAAACTGCTATCTTCCACAAGGTAGTAAAACACTAAGTATTCTTCAAAGAAGAATGAAGAGGATTACTTAGAAAACAGTGAACCAGGACGACAGGTACATCTTCTCTATTAAGACAGAAAAAAAAAACAACCAGTAACAAAAGCCTTATCACAAGATATTTTTGGGAATCGAATGCCAAAAGCTGACTTAGACATTTCAATTCCATAGCTAACCATTAATTTATAGGAAACTCTACAAGTACAAATTACTTAGGCAATTTAACTAAGCCATGAAAAAAGAAAATTTGAGCTTTTCAAATGCTTTAAAAGCAACCAGTGATCTTTGATGATATAATTCATATTTGGAAAGGTATGTCAGACCAGCACAGCTAGACTGTAAAGACTACATATTTAAACCCATTATTGTGTTTATTACGTGTATGTCTAATATGAACATATTACACCTGATAACCTTTCATATATTTCTCTAGATATACATACTTCCCACCAGCTGCTAAATATATAGGTCAAAATATGAAGGGGAGCACATCCTAATCATTATCCTACTTATTAAAAAATATTAATTACTGATGATACAATAATTTAACCATTTCTCCTTGGGTGAGCATCTCTTGCCAATTTCTGCTAACATAGAGTATCAGTGGTAAAAAATTTAATTTCTCAGGGCAGCTGAAATGTAATGGATTCTGTTCCTTCTCTGCTCTTTCAGTAATACAGAGGAAGAAAATGAAGCTTAAATAAAAGCAAGAGGAATAATGCAAGTAACAGCAAGCTTTAATGAATTCACATTTCCTCCCTAAAAGACCCAGTAGATGGAAAGCATGGAAGTTGAAATATGGACCAATACACAGATACACCAGATAATATTACTACATTTTTCTTTGTGGCTTTTCTCAAGAACCTGAGACATTATAAGTGACCTCTTCATTGTACAATAAGCAAGAGTATGGTGAATGTTTCTTGGTATGTGAGAGGCAATGCATCTGTTTGTGAACAGGGATGTGACACAGTTGTCACATTTTAACATGGTTTCAACAAATGTATTTAACTGCACACATACTCCCACTCAGGACTGACATAACCTGCAATCTTGCACCTCTGGAGTCACTGTCTAAAATAAATATTTCCAACTGCACTGCACCTAATGGAGGAGGGGAGAACCAAACCACCCTGTCCTTCGTATCAATTAAACAGATGGCTTGGCACAACTGGCCAGGCTTTCTCCAGAAGCCAATGATTCAGCATGATAGATACAAATAGGACAGGTCAACAGAAGGTATAGGAAAATGCTGTATTAACTGGTTGTAATTATGTCAGATGAAGCCACCAAAGCCTGGTTACCTTTACAATAGTTCTGCATCCTACACACCCAGGTTCAAAGAAATACTGCAACCTCAGGCAGTAACTGTGTTAGAATGAAGCAAATCCTAACTACAATTTTAAACAACCAGATGCACAGGTCACATTTAACAAGCTGAACTATTAAGTGATTAGAAATCAGCAGGCTTTCCACTGCATTATAAAGTATCTGATCACTTATTGTTCTTTTGTATTGTTTGAAGAACTTAATTTCTTAACACAAATTGCACTAAAGGTATAAAAATTCAGCGATTCTAAACAGCACACATTAAAGCAGCATTAACAAGTGCAAGTTTCCACTAGACTGGTTTTAACATTTTCTACTTTTACCCCTGCAATTTGTTCAAAAAAATCAACAGGTTAAGCAATCCAAAATGAGTTACAACTTATTGCGAGCAAAGCTTTCCAACTTATTGGAAAACATGCCGATTTCCAAAACATACTATAGGATTCCAAGGCTTTAATTAAGACCTGCTGAAGAAAAATACATCCTTGTCGTTTCTCAAGGCCTCCTGTTATAGAAAAAGTTAAATGACCAGACTGCCACCCCTTCAAATTCAGTGAGACCCTGCATGCCAAGGAACATCAATCCTAAAAGCAGAGTGCTTGCATACAGCCATGAATTCCAGCAGCCCAGGCCTGCCATCACAACCGTCCATGCTGCTACCATCAAGCACAGTTCAACATGAAAACTGCCGAGATCAAAATAAAATGATCTGTAATTTGAGCAAATACAACCCAGGAATTCTTTGAAGCTCTACCTGTGCTATGCTCTTAACTGACAATTTAGGTTTAACATATATATTTTAGGATGCTTTGGTTGCAAAGGATTATTCTAAAATTACACATTTGATGGGATTTAGAGGAAAGAACTTAGTAATTTACAGCATTTTGGTGGTTTATTTAATACGTATTACTTTCTCTTCTGAGAAGTATAACGTTTGACTTTTAAAGGCCCCCCGCGAGATTACCAAGGAAGGCCACAAAGAAATAGATCAAGGTGAATTTTCTCCATCAGAACTGGAACCTGAGAACAGCAGCCAATAGAAAGGGCGGCAGCACCTTCCCACTCGCTCTTCCCCGGCGCTGTCAGCTCCTGCAATCTCCGGGCTCTGCCCCGCGGAGCCGGAGCCCGGCGGTGCCCCCGGCCGGCCCCGCACTCGCTCCGGGCAGCGCATCCGGCCGGGACGCGCCAGGCCCGCAGGCCTTGGGCACCGCTCCCGCCCCGGCCCCGCCGGGCCCACCCGTGCCCCGCTCGTCGCCCGCCCGCAGCGGAGCCCACCCCGGTGCTCCCCCGCCCGTGCGGGCATCCCACGCCCCCGCACGGCGCTGGGCAGCACTCCCGTCCCCACCCGCGGGCAGGGCAGCCCGGCCCGCTCCCCGCGGGCACCGCTCCCCGCGGCGGGGCCGCCTCTCCCTCCCCGGGCGGTCGTGCGGGGGCCGCGGCCCGTCCCCGCGGGGCAGGGGGACGCTCACCCTTGACGGCGCGCTCGCTGGTGGCGTGGGGCGTCAGCAGCAGCACCTTGCTCCCCTCCTTGGCGGACATCGCTGGGCGCTGCCGGGCTCCGGCGGCGGTGCTGGGCGCTGCGGCGCCTTCTCCGCCCGTCCGCCGGCGGCTGGCGGGGCGCGGCGGGGCGGGCGGGGGCGGCTACAGGCGCCGGGCGGCGGCGGCCCGGCGGAACATGGCGGCGGGCGCGGCTCGCGGCTCCTGGCGCAGCGCGGGGACGGTCCGCCCCGGGCCCGGCATGCACCGCGCCGCCGCCCGCCGGGCACCGCGGGAGCGCGCGGGACTCCCGGCCCGACCGGGGCCGCGGCCGCTCTGCCGCCCGTGCCGGCGCCGCCGCGGGGCGGGGCGGGGAGCGCGGCCCGGCGCCTCCCGGCTCGGCCCGGGGAGGCGGGCGAGGCGCCCGGAGCGCCCCCGCCCCGGCACGGGTGAACGGCGGGCCGGGGCTGAGGGGGCGGCGCGACGGGCGGACGGCCCGGCTCCCAGCGACCCCGCACCGCCCGCAGAGGGCCGGCGGCCACCATGGAGAGCTCCGCGGGGCCGCCCCGGGGGCCGGGGCCGTACAGCCGGGGGAGCCATTTTGTGGGGTGGCGAAGCCTTCCGTGCCCCCGGGAACCTCCGCAGAGCGAGGGCCCCCTCCTCAGCGGGCGCCTCTCGCCCCCAGCGCGGCTGGAGGGCCCCACCGCCTCACCTGTCGGTGCGGGGCCGGCCGAGGGCAGGACAGGGAGGAGGAGATAGAAATTACCCCCAAAGAACCTGGGCACGGCTTGCAGCAAGCTCCCAGCACCAAACAGTTCAGCCAAACTTAGCTCCATGCTTGGAGCTGAGCAAGACCGGACAAAAGAGCATTGAGAGCCTTGGTGGCGGCAACAGGAGCTGCCCCCTCCTCGCCCCCTGCCGCCGTCATTGCTGCCCGGGCAGACAGCGGGGCAGAGGCTCAGCACCACGGCCTGGTCCTGGCAAGGGCAGCAGATCGCAGCTCTTATGTCACATACAAACCCTGTAATTTGGTGCCACAGGTCCAGCCACATGCAGCATATAAGACAGGACTTTACCTTGGCAGAAAGGCTGGTACAACTGTACTAGATCTAAGCTAATCTGGTTATTATGTACTCTGTCTTAAATTAACTTTGCTGAGGAAAAAAAGGTAAGTAGTTCCGGCTCTCCTTTGTAGCAGCTGTTAACCTCACCCTGTCTCCTCTGATTTAGTCTATCCTCAGTTGTACCAGTGCAGGTTGTTGGACTGGCTGTGTAGTTGAGATCACAGAAATTGGCTGGGTTAAAAAAACCAACCAACCAACCAAAAAAATATCACCCAACAAACAAAAAGTCCCAAAGCAAATAAACAAAACAGTAATCAGCCAAGAAGATCCAACAAAAAACAAAAAAACCCACACCAAAAATGTTCCAATTGTGCATCACCTAAATATCTTCCAATACACCTAACCAGATCTAGTGAACATCTAAACATGTACATATAACCATACTTAACCAAATGCAGTATATCTAAAGAGTTGCTGCTTTGCATTCCAGCTATCCCTACAGCTCTTATGCATTATTTGTACTGACCTGTGCAGTCTATTCTATACAATAAACCAGGAATTTAAGAAAGAAAAGCCACTCAGAGGTAACAGATTCCAGCAAGGTCTTGGTTCTTGCCCTGTTCAGGTCCAAGGAAAAAGGATGACACCTGAGATGAGGACCTGCCATGGTAAGCATGAAAAGCTCTTTGGCTCAAGCAAAAAGACACTGAAATTGATGGGTTACACAAGAGCTTGGGTTGACCTTGCTTTTTTTATTCGATAGCCAAGACAGTCCAAGCAAGAAATGTTGAATGAAACATCACTGTAAAGACATTCAAAGATGCAACATGAAATTTTAAGGGAATAAGAATTACAAACCCTCAGAGTATTTATTAACGAGACTTGCAAGACTCCAAAGTTTTGAAAAAACAAAATTCTACTAATTCTACATCCACAAGTAAAATACATGCATGCACACAAAAAGAGAGCTGAGATACGTTAGAGCATCATGGAAGAAATACTGGATGGCTATTTTTTGGCTAAGCCATCCAGCAGCAGGAAATACTACTTTATACCACATGTTCTCCAAATCTCTCTCATTGGACAACCAGTTTAAAAGGCCTGTTTTTAAATAGAACAAAAGCTTGTTTTCCTTCACTATCATGGACATGTATCCACTCAGAGTATGTAGTGGGAGTGCGGACAGGAAGGGAAGTAGGTATTGCTCCTACTGACTTTAGCATTAGATTAAAGTAAATCTGCTGGAACAAGCAGCAGGGGTAATAAATTCACTCTCTTATTTAAAATCAAGATAAGCTCAGTAATAAATGCAGTTTGAATGTGACAGCATGAAACAGCAAAGAGATTCTCATATTAAAAAGAAATTAATTTATCCATACAGTTCCCAACACACAGGGAGCCTGAGACCTTGCTGAGTGTTGTCAGGAATCTCCACCTCACCTGAAGTGCAGTTGCAAGAGAGATGCCTTACTTATTTCAATTGCTCACTTCCCTCAGGAGCCTGTAGCCACGTCCACTGAGGTGTGAAGTAAAAGGGACTGACGCAGTCAGAATTCTGGTTGAGGAAAACACATAGCGTAATATTATTGTGTTATGATGCTGTGCCAAAGGAGACCTTATCAGCCTCTAGGCAGCATACCCAGTGCCCTGCATGCTGAAACACTTTCAGTTATATCCAGGCATCACCTGAAAAAAAACACTTACACAGATCAGATCTTATCTTGCTGGGTGCACAATCCCCCTCCCAATACATTAGGTTGATATAAAAAATGGTGTTACATCTCCCTACAAACCACACCTCCTTAAAACATTAAAAATAATAAACTGACCCTTTTTTTTTTTTTTTGTTAACAACAGCTAGAAAGAGAAATTAGCTAGCACAGCTACCTTGCTGTTTTATGGTCACTTTTCTGACATATTCTATCTTGCCTCATTAAAATACAGAGCATGTGCCACTGTCATTACGACAGGATCAAATTTTCATTAGGCAGAAATCTGTAGTTCTCTCCCCCCTAAGCCCTTTACCTTGTCATTGAAGCTTTTTCATGTAGTATTGTCTCTAAATCTGCTAGAGACTCTGAAGGGGCACTGACATTGCCCCAATTTACCTCATGGTGAAGGCAAAGATGATTGATTTGATACATCTTGTGTTCAAGTAATCAATTTCCACCAGCACCACAAGTAGCATGATTACAGAAAATTAGGAACACAATTACAAACAAACATGACCTTGCAGGTAGAAGTCAGTGTGCCTTTATAATCCTGTTTCCCACAAATCTGCCACAAATGCCGCTCAAATAGAAGCACTTCTGAAAAGCAGAGTCACATTTTACTTCCTGTTCAGCTTTGCCACCAAGTGGCCATTCCATTCCACACATTTTAACATCGAATTTAAAAAAAAAAAAAAAAAAAAAGGAAAAGGAAAAAGAAAAATAGCTAATTCATTCCTGTTCTGACTGAATATTCCAAACCATTACCTAGCTGCTAGCACTGGACTGCTTTTCAAATATCTGCTTTCATAAAGGAGATACAATTCAGCAGGAGAAGCACAAAGAACAATCAAGCCAATCCATCTTCTTCTGTACTACAGGGAATGAAGCCATTTGGGATGATCCTTAACTTCCTTCTGCTCCATCTCAAAGAAGCACCCGCTGAAGCTGCGTGCAAAAGCTGTTTAAATGAAAAGGTGCTATGTGAAAACCTAGACTTTTCTGACACCTTCCCTGACTGAGGGCTGCAAGGTATAGAAGCAAATATATTTTAGTAAATTGTTGTCTCGTACAAGTGTTGTTTATTGAATCTGAAGCAGAAGTTAGACATAAAAATGGATGTGTGAAATTCTGTAACCATCTCTTGCAGGAGGGCAGATCATCAGAACAGTCTCTTCTGACTCTAACAGCGACATACCTTAAAAACTGGCACAATGCAATGTCCCAGAATCATCTAATTACCCAACAAGAACTTTCTGAAAACTAAGAAGGAAATTGAATCACAGGAGAGAGAGATATATTCCAGATCCCAAGAGAAAGATGCACAGAGCAAATCTTGCAGAGATAAACCAGGTCTGAGAGGGGAAGACGTGCTATAAGCAGGAGAATAAGATGAAGACAAAACTTTTAAGTTGTTCCATTTCATTGACTCTCACTAAGTTACTGTTTGAAACCATTCTTTCTGAATTGCCAGAAATGGTATTGTGGTTGGCATAAACTGTGAGACTGATTCAGAACAAGGCACGTTTTACATTTTGACATGTTGCTGTACTGAGTTTCAATAAGAATACTCAAAAGCTTTCTTTTAAGAGGACATACATAAGATTTCCCTGCTTCTCAAGTAATTTTAATGGCAATCTTATTATATGAAGGCATCTTTCAGAAAGGTTGAAATCATTGTCCTAAGTCATTTTCTCCAGCACCACAAAATCATTATCACTGCAATACTTCAGCTGCCAATGTCATCCAGTACTGAGAAGCTGCACCGACTTAAAAGGAGAAGAACCAAAACCAAGTTATCAGATAGTTGCTGGTATAAATCAGAAGCTACTTTACTATTACAGTCTATCCTGTCACACTCCCTTCCTGCACACATTTCCCTCATTCCCCAATAAACTCTCTGAACAGGTTGAGGAAGCACAGGTTATGTTAGAAAAGCTAGTCAAGGCCACAGTCGTTACTTGCATCATATCACAACTGTGAAAAAGAGGTTAAAGCTACCCAACCTGACTCCAGAATTTTAGGTGATTTTTATATACATCGGCCACATTGGGTGGCCACACTATTTTAAATCTCACACCTCTAGAGTGATAGTATCTCAAACTCTTCTTTAGGTTCCTCAAAACATCACTCACTTTCTCTGCTTAAAGCATTCCTTCCCCCCCCACCTTATTATCTAGTTCAAACTTCTCCTTCCTTAGCTTTAAGCGATTGCTCTTTCTCCTACCATCTGAGACCAAGCAATTCCCTCTCTTCATTTATCTTACTATCTTGATGATATTAATAGACTATTAATAGTCACCTCTACTCACTCTAAAAATTGAGTTCACTCTGCTTTTTGCTGCCCTCCTTTGTGTTCTCTTGTTTCCTCAGTGCCTCCACAAGCAAAAGACTTAACTGACAAAGTATTCAAGGTAAGCAGGTCTGTGTATAGGA